GGGAAAGAGAGGAATTTAAGGAAAATGCAGTTGTTCTAAGACCAGATGCAGAATCTGGTTTATCTAATAATTTTGTCACAAGGTTCGATTAGGTGTTCTTTCCTAAGTAAAACTAAATGAGCCTACTGAAATATTTCCTCTGACCTTCAGCTACTACAACTATATCAAATTAAAGCAGGCAAAAAAATTTTCCTTTCTGAGCAAGAGAGTGCTTGCTGAACAAGAACAGCAAAACACCATTATAGTGAGCTTCTCTTCTACTGAAGTATGGCATTGCAGAGGATATTTAGTTGAAGTCTGTTTTCTCAGACTCCCAGGGCCTAATTTGGATCTTAATTTGGGCCAGATTCTTTAAGGACATAAGCAGAGGACTTGCTTTGTTCTTGGGAGTAGTGAGTAACTCTTGAATTTTTGCAAGATTATAGACTGTATGTCTGTAGTGAAAACTATGAATAATTTAGTTGATCTCAGTGGAGCTGCGATAGTGAAAACAAGACTCAACATCGTGGAGTCTTGGTGAAAGTATTGCTTTTAGAGCTGCGCGAGCTGAAGATATTACAACATGCTATTTAAGTGATGTCTTGTAAAGCATGCTAAAACGATAATACAGGCACAACACACAGAAATTGAGTGGTTGCCATAAGACACGCTTTACTAAGATTTAATCTGAACTTAAACTTACCTCTAAATAATATCCCACCTTTTTTTTTTTTCCTTTTAAAAATAGGTGTAAGTGCAACCTTCATGCTACTGGCTGTAAAGAAGAAAACAAAAGACTACTTTGTGAATGTGAGCATAACACAACTGGCCCAGACTGTGGAAAATGCAAGAAGAATTACCAGGGCCGACCGTGGAGCCCTGGTTCTTATCTGCCTATACCTAAGGGCACTGCTAATATCTGTAAGTAGTTCTGTATAATAAGGATATTTCATTAGTAGAATTCTGCCCCGTTTTGTGACTCTGAAAGAAGATTAATGCTGGCAAAAGTTTGTCATTTCTTTATGACCCACTGCATATAATTGGACAAGGTGTCAAATTGTAAGTGTTAATTGTAAGTGTACATCATCTGTGCTCTCACATGGTTGTAAATAACTTGCATGAGAACTGCATGTTTGTATCCATAGACAAATCCCTAGATACTGCACAGGAAGGGCTAAGGAATGAAAAAATTAGGACCCTTCACATAAAAAGCACACACAGAGGAGAGAAACAAGTGGGAATATCTGCAGTAGTGCTCCAGCCATTGCACCCTAGGCTCTCCATTCATACATCCTTATTGCCTAAAGATTCAAAACCACCTCAGCTCAACGCATGAGATGAGGTCCTTGCTCATTTTTTGTCCATTTAAGAAAGTTCAAAAATCTCAGACCAAATTTTTCCAATTAATAACTAAAGATCTAAAGATTGGTAGGGAATTTTTTACTTGACATTAACCTGCAGTCCAGATTCACCTGCACTCTTTTAGACCACCATAAGTATTGAAGCAGGAAAGTGAGGGCAAAACCTGAGTTTTTATATCTGTTTGTTTCCGGCTGATAGCCATTCAACAACACACATACTCACCATTCCAGCACACTTTCATATTATCCAAAGGCAGTTATTGACAGCTGCATTTCCTGGCCCTGGACGGGATCGGGTCAAAAAGAACATGGTGCTGAAAGAGAGGGCACAAAGACAAGTATGAGCATCAGTTTTCCTTTCATGCATGTATGAAATACACAATGATTCAGAATCCCTCTGAACTGAGTAACAGACTTAAATTCCTTTGAAGAAAGGATTGAAGAAGATGAGGATAAATCACCAAACCTTGTGACAGAAGTTACTGGCTTCTTTTAAGAAAAGAGTCCACAGTTTTTCTCTGATTAAAAGCAAAACATTCATTTTAGAATATTAGAATATAACAATTTACTGAAAAGTTATTTGGCAGAAACAGAGCTATGTACTGCAGTTGAATGAAAAGTTTAAAACCAGGAGCGATGTGCAATGCTCAGAATGTTATCTAAGACTTCAAAGCAGCAGCTGTGAAAAATCAAAACTCAAAAATGAATATCATAGGAAGCAGGACCTTATCAAGCTAAATGTGAGAGTAATAGAGCAAGTAACAAACCATGAAGTGTGGGGGCATGAAATTATGATAAAATTCTTACTGAGAAGAAAAAAATTAACTTCCAAAAAGCAGAGGAAAAACATTTTGTAAGAATATTCACTTTTTCCACATGTTATAAAAAGTGAGTGTGGCTCACAGAATTAATACTTTAAAGCTATGTTTGGAAAAAATGGTAAGATTTACCAGGTTGGTTTTATTTTTATATTTTATAAATGTATGTATACACACATACATACATATGTATGCACATATATACTTTTTTTAACATACATATATATATTGGAGTTGCTACCCCAGCAATCATGTAAACTAGTGGCAAGATACATCTGAGCATGAAAACGGGGATCTTTTAAATGCAGCTTGCTATGCCAGTTGCATCATTTCCAATCAGTTGAACACACACCAGACAGAACAGTGGAATTAGCACCCACCAAAAGGATGCCTGAAGCTTGTTAAAACAACTTTCAACATTACTGAATTCCATCAGATACACAGTTCCATCAAAAATCAAAATGTTTTGCAAATAATAGGCAGTCTTTTCTGGTTTTTATTATTGTTATTACTATGATAGCATCATGAAAACATAACATTGTTTAAGCTGATGAATGCTCCACTTACCATGCCAAACAGGAAGAAGTATGAAGGATTTCCTCTTTGCCTTCCCAGTTGCCAGCAATAAACTGGCTCTCTGAGCTGGACCCTCCATCATACCCACAGTGGTTGCTAGCTGTTGAGCAGAGAGAGAGACCCAGCTGTCATAAGCTTGATCTCAATGACATCTGATGGCAATACATTTCACATTTTAGTGACACAATGAGTAAAAGGAGTTTCCTTTTGTTTGCTTTAAATGTTTTTACATGGTTAAGCCTGTACCTCCCTAGATAGGAAGAAACAGAGAATAATGCATTCCTATTTACATCTGTTTTACAATTTATGATTATATAGACTTGAAATGTCCACTCCTCCAACCTGTTTCCTAACTGACAAATCCTAATCTATTTAATCTTATCATATATAAAACCATGCCACATTTCAGGTCTTCTGTGCTTTGTTGCTCTCTTCTGGTTCTATGATGTCGGTTTTTTATTTGGTGAGGCTAAAACTACAGGTGATATTCTAGACATGAGAACAGCATGGGTCGTTTACAATAGCAGAAAAATGTGTCTGCTTTATATTTTGTTATTGCAGGGATCGGCCCTTGAGTCCTTTTTAAAGACTGTGCTACAGTTACAACATTTCTTCTGGCATCAAGGCTGACATAAGTGACTGGTTATATGTTACAGTAGTTAGTTCAGAAATGTCATATTTGAGTTCCTTTAAAACACTTTTTAGGTGAACATCACCTTATGGCAGTTCTTATTGTTAAATATTATTTACATCTTCTAAAACACCATCAGATGATGATAGACATTGAGAAACTTCTGTAGATTGTGAGACTCTTTCTAATCTTCTTTGTTGTGAACATCAGTGAAAACAATTAATTTAGTATGCAGTATTTCTATACCTTGATTGCCTGTCTACCCAGTCATCTCTCTGGGTGGCCTCCTGCTTCTAGTGTGGTTATTTGAACAAAACAGAATTATTAACTTTTATGTTGGTAGCAAGTTGATTCTCAAAGTACTGTGGTTTATATTTAACTAGACAGATTGTATGCTTTTTTTCCCCTTTCTCCATTGAGACGACTTACACGTTTGAAGGGTGGCTTTCCAAAATCATCTTCATTCTGCTGTTTTGGGTTGGGTATTGGGTGGTTTTTTTGTTTATAAGACACCTGATTTTTCTAATTTATAAAAAAAATTATGGGTTATATGTGATTATTCTGAGTCTGTCATACACTTTATCTCTAGCCTGCCTCCATGCTGTTTGCATTAAATCTTTTTAGCTGTTGTTCTAATTTTTCTTTTAAGTAACTTCCTCATTTTTATCTGCTCACTCTCTGAAATTTAACTATTACTGCAGTGGGGTTTTTTTTAATCCTTTCCCTTCTCAACAAGTATGTTGACTTTCAGTCCAGAAGTGGTTCTGTAATAACTACTTCTTGAATTGGGTCCTATGTACAACTCAGAACTAAATCAACTTCTCTTCTTGTGGGTTATCTGATTATTTGCTACAAGCAGCAATCATTTATGGTATGTAAAAGCTTCATTTCTTTTGTCACTTCCTGATTTAATGCCGCATGTGTTGGAACATATGAAATACTGCGTTAGTGCATAAACTCTCTGCACAGCCAATGTAATTTCACTTACCCTGTTGCGTTTGTGTCACCACCTCCATCGTGCAGTCAGCAATGCAGCCCTAGTGTTATACTCTCCCTAGTCAGGCATGAATTCTGTAAACAGTTGCTGGAACATGTTGATAGAATTAACTTACCTGGTTTGACCCTAAACTTCCCTTGATATATTACTTTAATTCCCTGGGAGCACTTTGTATAATCCAGTAATACAGTGTCCCTTTGATACTCTTCCTTCCTCCAATTTTCAGAGTCTCTCTTTTCCATCTAAGACCAAAATATTTTAAATTTTAAATGGATTTGAAGTTTTTTTAATATGAGTGTGTTTAAATAAGATACAGCTAAAAATAGTTGTGTAAATGAAATACTCAGAATTTTTTGTTCACAAAATAAAAAGATCTTTTTTCTTGAGATTCTCTGAATTTGGGAAATTCGCTCAGATTCAGCAAGAAGCCTAATGTCCATTCCCAAATCTTTCCCAGCTGGCACTTCTGTTGTTTCCATGCTTCTGCAATTTTTTTGTGGCCAATAAGAATTTAGTATACCTTTTCAAGCTACAGCTCATGAAATACAAGACCAATCTAGATTATACTCCAGTCAGAGCCTAAACCTTGGTATAAAGCTATTTTTTGTATCCTTCTCATTTTAAGTCAACGTGAGTTTTTCAGGAGAACACAAAACGTTTTTTCCGTACTTTGCTTGTGAAAGATACCGAGTACTCTGTTGTTTACTGGCACTAACAATATTTCCGCATTTGTCTCCCACACAGCATTTATTTTATATTTTCACTCTATCTTATTGACTATTTTGTGATTACATTTATTCCCTTGTGCTGCCACAATCTGTGGATAGCATTTTCTGCAACATGTTTTGACACTCAAAGTGAACTTATTGAATTTCTCTATACTTGGTATTACAAGATAGCTTTTCTCTTCAGCAGTCCTATGTGTGACAGCACTAGCCCTTGTCTTCCTCCTGTTGTTTAGATCATCTTTGGCACTTATGTTCTTTGCTCCATCAGACAGAGCTGTCTAAGACTGTGATGGGCTGCCATCCATCAAAGCTTGCTCGCTTTTTGTCAGTCCCTCCACAGCCAATAACCTGTACCAGAAGTGCTTGACACCCAGCAAAAACCACCTCCCAGCTGTTACATGACTTTCCTAATTCATAGTTCAATGTGAAACAAAGGATTGACCAGGACACATGGAACATTGGTGGTTCTTTTCAGCCGTTAGGCAGATAGTCTCAATCAGTTTACTGAATTTTTCCTGCAGTGGGTGCCCCTCTGATAGTACAGCCTCTGTCTCAGCAGCATGGCCTTAACCCTCCCTGAATAGCAAAAGACTTACGAGGCATCACTGCAGCACAGCTGCCACAGAAATGGTTTCTGACAAAAAATACGGCACTTGAAGTATTGCACTGATTACCTTCATCTGTGTTTGTAGTTTTCCCCATGAATATTTGCTGACACAAATCCGTCTGTAAGGACCAAGGTAAATGAAGTTGGCGAAGAGGTTGTGTGATGTCAGGCTTTCTTTTCAGTAATCTAAGTAGCATGGATCC